GTCATTTTGGCTCGCGCATTCACACTAGCGATGAGAACCACGGAAACAGTCCGACCAAATTTCTGAACACAGAAAGATGGGTTCAACCCCCGCACAGGCTCTGGCGATGATGGACATTATTCTGGCTATGTGGAGACGATTTAATGCAAAACAACAAATGTATAAGGTTAAATAAGGGCATATTCTTGCTACTCTCATCTAGTCAGCTGACGGGGATGAATGTAAACAAACAGGCGAGCAGCTAGTTACAAACTTGTATCTGTTTTTTATGAAATACAAGAGAGAATTTTGCCAATTTAAAAATATTGTTTACAGTTTAGACTGTCTTTTTGAATCGTTTTATATTATAAATACTTTTTCTTTACATTACTATAATGATTATCTATTACAGCTTATCATTTGAACGAAAAAGACGACGGAAACTTGCCAGCGAAAACGATAATTATCGTTTGACTGGAATTTATCGTATTCACCAAAAATACAAGCGATAACGAGAAAAACATGGAAACGTAGTAAATATCTTGGCGTAAAAAAAAGAAAAAAAAAAGTTTGAGTCATATATGTTATTTTTTCGTAATTTTAAGATTTTAGTATTACAACCTGTGCTGCCGGTCACAACAGCCAGAAATACAATGCACAGCATGGAAATGGTAATCCTCCTGGAGTCGATGATCTTCCAGTCACTGCTAATGCACCTTACATTCCACATTCGTTTATCAATAGTAATAATACCAAAGCCCCCTTCTGAGTGCTAAAGGAATCAAATCACGCCTCAGGAGGTTTCTGCACTCGTCTTTTCCATCACCTGGTCTTTACTCATGATGACAAGTTTGCTTCACCTAGCCTGAGGCCATTTTGTCCGATGACATGTTCATGTCACCCAGCACTCGACCCTGATTTTTCCATGATGGGACTTTAATATCATCTGGATGGTAGGGGTTAACTGTACAACAGAAATGCCTGTAAAAATTTAAAGAATATAGGTGAAGGATGATCTAAGTCTGGCTCATCTATTTCTGAAGATAGTTTCCCTGGCCAAAACAGTGATAGTTGCAGTCTTCTGTTAGGTCTTAGAGTCAGGTAAGGCTGGTGGAACCCCAGCTTAAGCTGCCTGGCATAATGGCAGGCAATAAGTGGCTAGTCAGGATGAGGCTAGTGTGCATATAGAATGGTACTGAAGAAATTAGTTTTTATTCACTTGCCCTGAGACCTGCAAGACTTCCAAGCCACTAGGTCAACATCAGATAGAAGACGGTGGATTTGCTGGCTAACTCAGCCTATTTGTTGCATTATGTGACAGGAAAGGTTAATTCCTGTACTGGTTTTGCACTGTGAAGATATGGCAAACTCATATGTATAGTAATAGTCATTGTGAAAGTAAAGAGAAAGTATGAAGACTTGGCATAGTTTTAAAGCAGATGATGTTGTTTGAGATTGATATTTGATTGCTTCAGTAATGATGATTACCTCTACCAAGGAGGTTATGTTTTTGGTAGGATTGGTTAGTTTGTAGGCAGGTTAGCTCAAAAAGTTATGAAATGATTTTTATTTTTTACTAACCTAACCTATATTGGTGGTGGTCTGGATCATGATATGGATCCAGGAATTTTTTAAAGATTGCATCAGTTACACCTATTACTTTGGCAATAGGCGTAACTATAATTATCATCATTAGCTTTATTACCTGCTCCAAGGAGGTTATGTTTACAGACATCACCAGTGCACTTAGGGAAGGTGATTTTAATTCTTCGTGTGAATATTTTTATTGCATCAGTGACCCTATTGCCTCGGCAGAGGTATACACACTCTGAATTCAACCAAATGCCATATCTGCCTTTGTACATAAGGTAAAACGATTAACCCGTTGCCGCTGGATGTCATGTACGTACATGCCATGGCTGTTGTGGACCGAACACCGGGGGGCATCATGTCATGCCCATTCCTGCGCCACTGGCTCGTCGGACGGAGGTTGATTTTCTCCGATAGTAGTGGCTTTATTTATATGGTAAAGAGTTTAGGCAATGGCACCTAAAGTGAAGGTAAACCTTCAAAATTTTAATATTTTTATAAATTTTAGCAAAATAAAAGCTTTTAGGTACTAAATGTCGCTCGCAAAATACCGATCGAGCCGGATGCAAACAGGGGAAACTGCCGATGCGTGCCAACAAGCCTGTCCATATGTCCACTTGCCAAACATTTTTACCTGTCGGCAATGGGTTAACAAGTTGCCACCCATCACTTAGCATGAACTCCGTTGGTGTTACTGATAGTACTTTATTTTTTCCCCCTACAGAAATCGATCAGATTTCCAAAGGCCAAATACTTCTGCAGATTATGTGATTACCACTGTGATTCTTTGATTGTGTGCAGGAGACATATTGCAGATGCAAGGCACAGGAAACTCAAAGAGGTTAGTAGTGACAATGATAATCATTTTCATATTGACAATTGAAGTATGGCTAAAAACAATGACATTTTCTCAGTGAGGCTTTTATTGTCAAAAAATATGGTTAGAAATTATAGTTTCGATTTTGAAAATATAGAACAGGTTAGATGGGAATAAGTCAGATATGATATTTATTTTCCTTAGTAATTTACATTTTATTTGCTGAATAGTAATGCTGGCTGTTTTATATTTAGAAACCTTGATGCTATTGAGTGGACAGTGTGCTAATTTTGTATTCCCTAGACCAGTGTTGTCCAAACTGGGGTCCGCATACCCCTGGGGGTACGCAACATAGATCATAAGGGTACGTGAACAAACAAGGAAAAACACACACACACACACACACACACACACACACACACACACACACACACACACACACACACACACACACACACACACATATATATCACATGTTCTATGGATCATCATTTATTGACTAACACTCCTGCAATGCAGTCTTTTCATAATTAGTATATTATTTGCATTATTTTAAATAAATCAGTTTGTTTAGCCATGGTGGGCAAGGTACGTAACAGTAGAAGAAGGTAATAAAGGATACAGTAGGTGAAAATGTTTGGACAGCACTGCCCTAGACTGAAGTAATTCCTCAGAAAGATTAATAAAAAAATATATATTAATAAGAAAATAGCTGTGTTTCAAGCCTTGGAAAGACAGATGATTTCAAAATTTGTTAATTGGGTAAGTTCTACAATATTGTGCTTATGCAATAAAATTTAGCTATGTGTTCTGAAAATAGGGATATAAAATGTAGGCCTATCATATCAAAAGGGCCAACGTTTTATTCTGCTTTTAGTTGCTGACAGCTGTAGAGAGCCCTTTTTCATGTTATGTTTCTGCCCTTTTACAGCGGGTCTCTTGGAGCAGCCACACACTGTGGTTAACCCAATCAGAGCCTAAACTCCAATTTTACGCCCCTTGTTTAGCCATGGGAGTACATGGAAGATTATTATATTAGAGACAAACGTCAAGTTTAGCATTTTCATGAAGCTAAAATGGTCCATCACCCAAATAGAATTAATATATACCTTGAAACCCTACCTAGCTCATTTACTGGGAACATATTACAGAGCTGGATGTGTCCCCTAAAGATCCACATGCTTTAATCCATGGATATCAGCTTATAAGGGACAAAGGTGATGGAAAATTGTCTGTTCATCACATCAATGACTAGCTACAACTTCCATAACAAATCATTAGCAGGATGATTAGCCTCATTGCTGGCAAAGTTGAGTGTGGATTTTGCAACATAGTCTGCTGGAAAATTACTGGTGTCATCAGAGGGTTGTTAGACCAGTAGTTCTTCATGTAAGACTTGGGCTGTAATTCATTCAGGAATTGCAGCCTGAAGCTCCTGCACCATGATATCCTCCCAGCATGAAAATTTGGAAAGCTATCATTGGCCCTAAGGTCAGAAGAAATCGTTACGGCTATAACTGTACCCAGTGCCATCGGGTTATATCACGGCAAATACTACAAGGAGAAAGTGAAGATGGTGGATGTGAAATAATATCATTTCCTTTTTATGAAGGCTTGGAATTACTTCCTTTTATGACATCAGAAAAAATATTAAACAAGTATTGATGTTTACTTATTATCTATGCATTTTTTGACTGGATAAATTGAAAACTTGAAAAGAACTGCTGTAATATTTGAATTGAAAGCTACTGTTATATATAATGACTTTGTCTTATTTACTTTTATTTTATTATAGAGTTTTAGGTAACATGTGGTAGTGGAGTGAACAAAATAGTCCTGTTATGCTTCATTTTTTAGATAAATTTTGTATATTGTAATGAGAAAAAAATGATTTTGATTGTAAGCAATTATATTTTCTCTCTGATTATAACCAATTTATGCTAAATGACACCTGTTTTGGCCATTATACATAGTCCATATGTCAGGTGGAAAGTATCAATGCCACATATATTTGAGCCTGCACTTTGTTAATCGTCTCATTTTATTGGCATCTGGCCTATGCATTGGAGTGGATAAAAACCAGTGTTGTAGGGTAAAGGCCACTTGATTTAAAGTGTTTAATTTGCATGTGCCAACCATTTATGATAATGTGAATGCTATGCCATTGCAGGCTAAAGACGTGGAGACTACTCTGAAGAATGTGCCATCTCCAATTGAAGCACAGGTTGCTGCTGTGGAAAAGTTGATCTTGGAGATAGTAGAAGAGGTGAAAGTTACCCCAGATATGATGCGCACCAGAAAAGAGGTCGTGAAGGAACTTAATAAATTGCTCGCGGCCAAAGTGGAAGGTGAGTTTCTCGCCCCTGGAATCTCATTTTTCTGTGTGTGACTTTTGGGTGTCATTAGTGTTACTGTCCAATTTTTAGGACATTGCATGGATAAGTAAAATAAGAGTAAAAAGGATATCTGATATTCAAAGCAGAGATGGGTTATTTATGTATTGTATATAGTAATGTATAATGTTATAATTATGTATAATATAACAAATACTACTGTGTACAGCAAAATGGTGTCATTAGATGTTTTGATAATTGATACATATACCTTGCTTTATACAGGGTGCAGATTAGAGATGGTGGGATCATCTGTGAGTGGGTTCTGCATGAAAACAAGTGATATCAACATAGATGTAGTAATGGACGAGAACCTTAATCCTTCCATTGCCCTATTGGCAGTGAGGGAGTTGGTTCGAAAAAATGACTTGTACACGTAAGTATTAAAAGATATGTTAGTTGTGATTTTAATATTTTTGTTGTTGAATAATGGGAGAGAAAATGATAGGGAGATTGTTAGTCCTACATTTTTTTCTATTTGATTTTTAAAATTGTGTTCCTTACCACAGAGATGTTTTAGATGATCTAACATCATCATTCCCGACAATGGCCTTCACCCATGCAAACCGGCTTGAGGATGGTGGTGGGCGCAGGCAGCACCTCTCCCAAGCACACCAACCAACTCTTAGCTGACTATGCTGTGATCGACCCCAGAGTACTTACCCTGGGAATTGCGCTCAGATATTGGGCAAAGGTAGTGTTTCAGTTCTTGTTATAGATCTTATTGGTTGACCTACTATCCTGTTTTTGAACTATGTGTTTCTCTGTTCTTCTCTGGAGATTTTTTAATTTTTTGTTCTCCCCTATTTGCTTTAGTTTCACAGGTCTGTTACCTTCCATTTTTTTATAAAAAAAATTTACTACCTAGTTTGAAGAAAATGCTTATTTTGATGGTATCCATTTCTGTCCAACAGCTCTGCCAGATGGATGACCAGTCACGTGGAACTCTCCCACCACATGTTTTCCCATTGATGGTTGTACATTTTCTTCAGCAACACAACCCTCCAGTCTTGCCAGTTTTACATAGCTTGCACCCAAAACCTGACGGGGATGTTTATTTACGTGAGTGTACTTTAAGGCTTTGCTTATTATGGAAACACCCACTAGATTTTTTCTGTTTGGAATTTCAGTGTAAATGAAATGTTAATTTGCATCTTTATGTGGTTTTATTTGGTTTGATTTCAGGTCCATCAAAACTTGGTGATAAGTGGCAGTGCCAAAATACTCAGAGTGTGGGTAGGCTATGGCTTGACATGTTCCGTTTCTATACCATTGGCTTCAAGATGACAGACCTTGTCATCAATGTGAGACAGCTGCAGCCCATGCCCAGAGCAGAGAAAACATGGAGTAAAAAGATAACTGTGGAAGGTGTGTATTTGATTTATATATTTTTGATATGCTAAAAAATCCTGATTTTTTAAATTCTGAATTGATGCATGTAGGGTGTGGAAAAAAAGAAAGAAAGAAAGAAAAAAAAACTCCAGGCAAGGTACTATTGATGTCATAATTTCTACATATATACTCTGCTACATAATGTATGATTACCATTATGCAAAGACGGTTTCTGCAAATAAAATTGTTTCAAATTGATTGGCTGGATATTGTTGTATGATCGTTATCCATCCAGTTATATAGAGCAGAGCCATAGCTCTTTTATGTTTTATTTTTTACACATTCGCACTTTTTCCTTTCCAGATCCATTTTTACAGAAGAGAAACCTTACACGGACTGTGAGTGGAAACCCTGTGTTCGAGTACATCACAGACAGGTTTAAAACGACCTACAAATACTTTTCCATTCCTCAACTCTCCTTTGGGCCTCTCTTTAACCACATCATTGTCAAGGAGGTAAGAAGACCTTGCTGCGAGTATGTAATTTAGTTTTTATAATGCACAAATTTCACATTTTTATGCCTTCTGTGTATCAGTTTTTGTCATGTCTCTTGAATGTGTTTTGTGAGTATAAAAAGTTGAATCCATTTATTGTCGTATATGTATTTTTTATTTGTTCAGATGTCTCTGTGACTATTCTACAAGTAGAAAGGTCTATGTTTTATGTCTGTAAATTGTCAGAAGAAATATTAACCTATGTTTGGCAGTATTTGCAACATTCATTTGATATTTTAGAATTTATCCTCAAGAGTATGTCATAATGCTCAAACATATATTTGTTATTTTTTATTTTCTCGTTTATTAGCTGTGAACAGCATTATGTATAACTAGTATGAATGTAGATCAGCATGATGAAAAGAGAGATTGTAGGTTTTAAGTTCTTAGCTAGAATATAGTTCGTTAGTTTGGAAATATTTGTATACAGACTGTTCAACCTTTATTAAAATCATATACCAAAAGCATTCTAAAGATTTAACAAAAGAATTAAATAAAGAAAAAAGGAAAGTTCACATACTTTTACATAAGCAGGTCTCAGAATGTCATACAATTAGGTTGTACATTTAGGTTTCATAACTGTGCTGGACATAAATGAACAGACGATAGGGTTTTGCTTAGGATAGGTTAAAGGATTATTTCAGTATTCCTAGAAGTGTGATGTGTTGGCTAGAAGTGCATATAACAAGGTGTTGAGGGAGGCTGCAGTAACAGAATAGTACAGAATGTGATTTTTGTATTTAATCAGGCCCAGAGTGTGAATGGGTCCAAGGTGCCGAGTGGCCCTGGCCAGAAGAACAAAAAGGGCGAGTTACTCCTGGAGTCGATAGAAAGAGTAAGTGAGCTCGTTTGCCTCTGCGACGGCGCTTGCTCTTCATGTGTCAGTGGTTCTTAATTTATTTATTTGAATTTATGTATTTTATCTTCTCTCTCAAATTATTAAACATGCTCAGACATGTATACACAACGGAAACACAAGCATGCTCAGATATGTAATACAACAAACACATAACATTCACAGACATACCCATAAAACACAGAGATGCATAAACATACTCAGATATGTAAAACACACATTCACAAATTCACATGCACAGTCAGGCACAGACCACACACTTGCACAGTCAGGCACAGACCACACACCTGCACAGTCATTGCACAGTCACACACACACTTGCACAGTCAGGCACAGACCACACACTTGCACAGTCAGGCACAGACCACACACTTGCACAGTCAGGCACAGACCACACACTTGCACAGTCAGGCACAGACCACACCACACACAGACCAGCACAGTCAGGCACAGACCACACACCTGCACAGTCAGGCACAGACCACACACCTGCACAGTCAGGCACAGACCACACACCTGCACAGTCAGGCACAGTCAGGCACAGACCAACACCTGCACAGTCAGGCACAGACCACACACCTGCACAGTCACACAGACCACACACTGCACAGTCAGGCACAGACCACACACTTGTACAGTCAGGCACAGACCACACACATGCACAGTCAAGCACAGACCACACGCATACACAGTCAGGAACAAACCATACACATGCACAGTCAGGTACAAACCACACACATGCACAGTCAGGCACAAACCACACACATGTACAGACCACACACATGCACAGACCATACACATGCACAGTCAGGCACAGACCACGCACATGCACAGACCACGCCCATGCACAGACCACACACATGCACAGACCACACACATGCACAGACCACACACACACACAGACACACACACTACACACAGACCTACCTACACACAGAGACACATACCCACACCCACAGACACATACCCAGACACATCCCACACCCACAGACACATACCACACCCACAGACACACACACCACACCACAGACACATACCCACACCCACAGACACATACCACACCACAGACACATACCCACACCCACAGACACACCCACACCACAGACACATACCCACACCACAGACACATACCACACCCACACACATACACACACAGACCACCCACACCACAGACACATACCCACACACAGACACATACCCATACATACAGACACATACCCCCACACACACAGACACATACCCACACACACAGACACATAACCACACACACAGACACATACCCATGCACAGACAGACACCCATACAGACAGACACATACCCATGCACAGACAGACACATACCCATGCACAGACAGACACATACCCATGCACAGACAGACACATACCCACACAGACAGACACATACCCATGCACAGACAGACACACCCACACACAGACACATACCCACACACACAGACACATACCCACATACCCACACACACACACATACCACACACACACAGACACATACCCAACACACAGACACATACCCACACACACACACACACCTACACACACACAGGCACATACCACACACACACAGGCACATACCCACACACACACACATACCCACACACACAGGCACATACCCACACACACACATACCACACACACACCACACACACACACACCCCCTCACACACAGACACACCCACACACAGACACTTAACAAATTCACACAGAGCCACACACAGACACTTAACAAATTCACACAGAGCCACACACAGACACTTAACAAATTCACACAGAGCCACACACTTGCAGTTTCACAAATAAAACATGGAAGAAAGAACAGAAATTAGGATTTTTAAAATTAATATTATTATTATTATTATTATTATTATTATTATTATTATTATTATTATTATTATTATTATTATTATTAATATTATTATTATTATTATCATTATTATTTAATACTTTTACCACTTCATCATACTCATTTCAAATTGCTGCTTCACCCCAAACTTTTTTTAGGCCTTTACCATGGCTAGATTCTGTGCTGCAGCCAGCATTTTTTCAAACTTGGTGTAATCTGTTGCTGGTCTAATTGTTATTCTATGTAATTTGTTCTTTATTATTTTTTTTATCATCATGATGAGGATGGTGTTAAGTGGTGGTGGTGATTGTGATGATGATGATGATGATGATGATGATGATGATGATGATGATGATGATGATGATGATGATGATGATGATGATGATGATGATGATCATGGTGTTACCACCATCACTGTCATTGTCCTTGTCCTGGCATTCATCATCATCATCATCAACATATCATCATCATCATCATCATCATCATCATCATCATCATCATCATCATCATCATCATCATCACATCAACATCAACATCATCATCATCATCATCATCATCATCATCATCATCATCATCATCATCATCATCATCATCATCATCATCATCATCATCATCATCATCATCATCATCAACATCAACATCATCAACATCATCAACATCATCAACATCATCAACATCATCAACATCATCAACATCATCATCATCAACATCATCATCATCATCAACATCATCAACATCATCATCATCATCATCATCATCATCATCATCATCATCATCATCATCATCATCATCATCATCATCATCATCATCATCATCATCATCATCATCATCATCATCATCATCATCAATCATCAACATCATCAACATCATCAACATCATCAACATCATCAACATCATCAACATCATCAACATCATCAACATCATCACATCATCATCATCATCATCATCATCATCATCATCATCATCAACATCAACATCAACATCAACATCAACATCAACATCAACATCAACATCATCAACATCAACATCAACATCATCACATCAACATCATCATCATCATCAATCATCATCATCATCATCATCATCATCATCATCATCATCATCATCATCATCATCATCATCATCATCATCATCATCATCATCATCATCCTCATCATCCTCATCATCCTCATTATCATTATCTTCTTCATAAGTTAGCCATTATTGGTGCTACTGTTGCCGATGTAATGATTATTATTCTTAGTTTTTATTTATTTATTTTTTATTTGATCTTAGCCTTTTTTATTGCATGTGTTTTTGTTTGTTGTGATGAGTGGTTTGTGTAATTCTTGTAGTCAGGAAGTAATATATAGATTTTATATGAATGGCTAGTTTTTTATTGACTTATTTTGGTAGCCAAGAGTTTTGTAATTGACAGTGTTTTACATTCATACGCTGTTACCATGCACATTCTCAGTATTATGGGTATCAGTGTGTGAATGTTGCATGACATAGAAATGTAGTGTTGGCAGATTTGTATGTATTATTTATTGTTTTATTTGTTTACATCTTTATTTATTTATTTTTTACCTGTGTCTTATTTGGGTCATATGATATAGTTAAGTTTTAAGTAGATATGTATTTAATTTGAAAAAAAAGTATGTATTTGGTCAAAAGTGGATGTTCATCAAAAGAATATGCATATTCAGAAATTGATATGATATACACACAGCCAAGAGTTTACACTGTTTTTATGGCCTTCTGTATTAGTAGATGAAAGTTGTATGTATTTTGAAATATTAATGCTTTATTTAACCTATGAATATCTTTCCTGTTAATAATGATTTGATAACTGTAGATTTTAAGATTTTATTATTTTTTCTGATAATTTTATGATTTCTTATGGTTCCAGGCCTTAAAGATGATGAGCAGACTGGCCATCACCTGTACTTTGTTTTATTTCATCTTATTTGATGGGAGGAAACAGTAATTCTTATCAGCTAATGAATTTGATTTGATGACTAGTTGTGATGGACATTAGAGTTTTTTTCAGTAACGCGCTTCAGAAACGAGTAACCATTATTTCTATGATATAGAGCAGTGGTTCCCAAACTCTGCATTTCCCCCTCTGTTATGTGATTTCTCATTTCTGTACTATTATTATTAGTTTTAAAATATTCTATAATGATAGTTCAGAATTACTTATAATGGGTATATGGATATAGTTTGGCCACATTTTAACTTATAGCCATATAAAATATGATAGTAACCTGTAACATTATTATCTTTGTTGCATTATTATAATTATTGTATTGTTTGTTACTGAAATGCTTGAAATTGGTGGTTTCAGCTATTATGGGGATGTATTGCACACCCTTGTTATACCAAGAAGAAAATTGAGCTGGAACATAATATTCATAGTTTTCCATGCTTGTATAAGTGTGAAAGCACCTTAAACTCAGATTCAACCTCCTTAATAGGGTGGCCCCTTTCAGGAAGAAGCTGGGAAAGAGCTTAGGGATATGCAGTGCTTATTCTGATGATATCAGGGCTCACACTGCTTTACCCAAAATTCAGATATGTTGTGTAGCAGGGGGCTGTTTATATGTGGATGTCATCAAAATTATTCATCACATTAAATTTGTCATTTAATATCATAGAGGAAGTTTTGGCATATGAAAAAGATTTTCTTATGCTCTGGCCATCACCTTCAAGCTCTGATATTGTTTAAGTTCTTTTTGCCAGTGTAGTATATATATAAATATATATATGTATATATATATATATAATTATATATACATATGTTATATATAAATATATATAAATATATATATATATATATATATATATATGTATATATGTATATGTGTATATGTGTATATATATATATATATGTATATGTATATGTGTATATGTGTATATATGTATATATATATATGTGTATGTATATTATATATATATATCTGTATGTATATGTATATGTATATGTATATATATATATGTATATATATGTATGTATATATATATTATATATATTATATATATGTATATATATGTGTGTATATTATATGTATGTATGTATATATATGTATGTATATGATATGTATGTATATGTATATATATGTATATATATGTATATATAT